CTTGTGTAAACTTAGTTGGTCACATGTGTAAAAAGCAAAGGATAAAAAAATGCAAATTTTGTTTTTCACTTTTCACTTCCAGACCTCAATGCTCTAATGAATGTCATAGTTAAAGAAGAACAACAAACAGGTTTGTAAGGAAGTGCACAGTGTAAAGCCATTTATTCTATTAAAACTTTATAATTATATAAAAACATGTCAATATATAGCTGACCATACCAAAATTCAAACTGTAAAATAGGGAGATAACTGTAGGGGAACTGGTAAAGCAGTTATGTTTAACTTGCCAGACTCATGATCTTTGAATTGGTAAACAAAAAAGCCACTGATACTTGTCTTGCATGGACCAAAAGGCATAATTCATCAGCAAGGCTACATTCCTCATATATTCCACATTTATTTAAATTGTAATATATTAGGAAATAAAAGACTCATTATACTTGTAGTAATTGGTAAATATCTAAAAACAAAATTACATGTAACTAAACACAAGAGCGATCAGTAATCACATGTGTCGCCTCATACATAATGGCCAATTTCATGTTGGGACAAATTTTGTGACAGACGGACAGACAGACGGACAGTGCACAACTAGACTTGGTACTGATCAATCATGTAAAGTTTGGATAAAATTGCACCAGTAGCTTATGAGGAGTAGTCCGGACAAGCTTTTGCGTATCTGGCAACACATAGAAAAAAACACCTTTTTATCAAAGGGCCATAACTCAGCCAAAAATCATTCAACCGGGAAACCCGTGCAATATGCGCAAGGACTTGAGCTACAGATCAAACCTGTAAAGTTTCACTGAAATTGCATAAGTGGTATAAGAGAACTAGTCCGGACAAACTTTAAAAATAAAAATTATTAAAGGGCCATAACTCTGACAAAAATCATTGAACCGGAAAATGCTGACAATATGCACAACTAGACTTGGTACTGATCATTCCTGTAAAGTTTGGATGAAATTGCACCAGTAGTTTATGAGGAGTAGTCCGGACAAGCTATTGTGTATCTGGCAACACACAGAAAAAAACACCTTTTTATCAAAGGGCCATAACTCGGCCAAAAATCATTCAACCAAAAAACCCTTGCAATATGCGCAAGGACTTGAGCTACAGATCAATCCTGTAAAGTTTCATTGAAATTGCATTAGTAGTATAAGAGAAGAAGTCCGGACAAACTTTAAAATTAAAAATTATTAAAGGGCCATAACTCTGACAAAAATCATTGAACCGGAAAATGCTGACAATATGCACAACTAGACTTGATACTGATCATTCCTGTAAAGTTTGGATGAAATTGCACCAGTAGTTTATGAGGGGTAGTCCGGACAAGTTTTGTGACGGACGGACGGACAGACGGACAGACAGACAGACAGACGGACAGACGGACAGACAGACGACGGAGAAGTGATCCCTATATGTCGCCACTACTCCGTAGAGGCGACACAATAAAGTGCACTTGGGAAGGCTTGTACTAAGTTATCCTATTATCAAATTCAGTCTCTCTGGCATGGAATAATTATTAGATATGTAAAGGATTTGTTTACTCAGTTGAAAACTTGACAGCTCTTTTTCAAGATTAATAAAAATTTTACCACAGGAAATTGAATACTCTAAACAATGGCTGACAAAGGCTTTAATTGAAGTTATGACCCAGATTATGATCTTTTGTTCAGGTACATTTCAGCATATTTGTTTTTATTCCATAGGTTACCTGAAAATTTGAATATTTTATAACCTGTCCTGGTAACCCTGTAAATAGTGGTAATATGGTGATGTTTTTCTGGTTAACTACATCCTGAATAGTAAAACAACCAATCTAATCCTAGCTTCCTCACATGATAGTTTCCAATAATGATTCAAACTCAAAGGAAAGGGACAAAGTACTTATGGACACTGCCAAGGCATAAAATTTGCCAATATCAAGATTCATGCAGATTTTGCAATAGTAATACTTCTATACAGATTTTTATGTTTATATTCTGCTTCATTTAAGTTATCCGGACATTTGACAAGTAAATTAATTAAATTTTACACGCCATTTAAAGTACAACATACTGATGCAAACCAATGTCTAAGACAGGGGAAAAAATCTTCCTGTAATAGGAATAATCTGGCTGCTTTTAGATATTGCATTTATTGCAATGATTACCATGCCAGTGAGGACATTTAACACAAGCTATATTGTATGACAGATTGCATGACTGCCAAAGCTATTGTTGACAACAAGTCTATTTTTATAGACCTCAGGGACGGTTAATTAGAGTCTAATCAATATGTTTTGTTTGAAAGAATGTCCATTAATCATATCTTATTTTTTATGATATTTTCACAAGAACAAATGAGATGTGAATAAGACCTTATCTGTCACAGATTATGCACAGTGCTCATGGAAGGGCAGATTTTAGTTTGATAAAATTGTAGAGATAATACATGTATGTCTAAATAACCAAATTACTCAATAAGTGCCCCCTTGACTCTTAAGTACAAATAATGTTCTAACTTTGTAACAAAAAAGCCGAGACATGCATTGATTTGATTTTTTACTTGTCAAGCTTATATACAATTCTAATTCTCCTGACAGAAGTTATTTTGCTATATTTACAATTTGGATACTTTTTATTAACAAATTTTATTTACATTTTCGATTGTTTTTGTTACTTGTTTACAGAAAAAAAAATTTAGACAAACTAGTTAGAATCATCTACATTGGCCACGTCTCTATCTTAAAAGTAAATTGCACTACTAAACTTGTATCAGCAATGCAAGGTTATAATGTCATTTGAATTCTTTGCAATTATAAGGAAGAATAAACAAATAATGAGTTCCATTTCATTGGAATTTTTTTTCAGTAGCATAAACACTATGAATGCAAAATGACCACTAAATTGGTCTGTGTACTGTTTATTTAACCATCATAACATCTTAAAATATCTAAAATCACCAACCTTGAAGGATAACTTACTTTATTATAGCTTTTACTCACATTAAAGTATTCTACGTGACCGGGCATATCGGATTCCCACATCATTAATAAGTGACTCTTATATTGGATCATTGGAAAAATTAGCAATTAGGAACAAATTTTAAATGCATCAGGTAATAGTTTGCTCTACTTATTTTTAGTTGTACAATGTATGTACCAAGGGAGTAGGGATTAGATTTTTTAAAGAATATTGGTGATAAAATGTTGCTTTGTAACCTGACCACTCTGTCATATCTTAAAGTAGTTTTGACCTCAGGTGACCTTGACCTTCACCCATCAACTCACACCTTGCCCTTAACATATAAAACATGTACATAACTATCAAATGAATATAAAATGAGATACATATAGTTTATGTAACAAAGGTCCCACCCCTCCTCCCACAAACAACATTTCTAATGCTTTGGGGGCATACAAACTGAAATGAAGAAGTAAAGAATTACCAGAAGACAATTTTCTTAACACGAAAGACAAGATCTTTGAAAATTTGAAATACTGGTACATGTAAGGCCCTTTTCATGTAATGAACTCTATTTTTTTTGCCATTGAAGGTTTAATGGCACTGAATGTGGGCTTGAAATTTTTCAATCAAGTTCTGATTGTATAATAATATAGTATTTCAGTCAAGAGAGAAGAAAACACTTAGTATAAACATAAAAGACAATATTTCTTGTATGTTCTGGAATAGACCTCTGTTGCTTAATTATAGGGTTATAAAGAACCAAATATAAAGAGTTTGGAAATTTTTGAGTCGCCTTACAAAAATGCTCTTTTTTTTAACTCATCATAACATTTACAACATTTTCTTGATTTTTTTTCATAAATTCTTAACCTGCTGAATATGTGTGTAATTTTAATTTTTTAGCAATTGTCAAGCTCTGACATTGGACACTGTGCACCTATGGGGGTAATAGACTAAGTTTCAAAGCCACATCTTTTTCAGAAAAACTTTCAGTGTTTCCCTACACCTACCTAGAGGTATACTGGTAAGAAAACCAGGCATTATCCTGGCATATATCAGCGCTATACACTGGGCATGTAAAAGAACCATGGGATCTATTCAAAAAGAGCTAGGGACTGGTTGCCTGATTCCCTTATATTCATGGATGTCTCTGGACTCTGCTGAGGTAAGGACCCTACTGGAAACAAGAGCTGTCGGTAGGACAGCAATGCTCGACTATTCTTGTCTTGATAGTAAAAAATAATGCTTGATAGAGTTACCTACTCCTGTTTACAGGTTGGTGTCATGATGGTGAACAAGTATGCAAAGTTTCAAAGCCATATGTCAATGGACTTTGAAAATATTTGAGGTATTACAAAAAACTTTAACGTAAATTCTAAGTCGAAAAAGGGGCATAATTCTGTCAAAATGCTTGATAGAGTTACCTCCTCCTGTCTACAGGTTGGTGTCATGATGGTGAACAAGTGTGCAAAGTTTCAAAGCCATATGTCAATGGACTTTGAAAATATTTGAACTATTACAAAAACTTTAACGTAAATTCTAAGTCGAAAAAGGGGCATAATTCTGTCAAAATGCTTGATACAGTTACCTCCTCCTGTCTACAGGTGGGGGTCATGATGGTGAACAAGTGTGCAAAGTTTCAAAGCCATATGTCAATGGACTTTGAAAATATTTGAGGTATTACAAAAACTTTAACATAAATTCTAAGTTGAAAAAGGGGCATAATTCTGTCAAATGCTTGATAGAGTTACCTCCTCCTGTCTACAGGTTGGGGTCATGATGGTGAACAAGTGTGCAAAGTTTCAAAGCCATATGTCAATGGACTTTGAAAATATTTGAACCATTACAAAAACTTTAACATAAGTGGTTACGACGACGCAGACGCCGACGCGGACGCCGATGCTCGGGTGACTACAATAGCTCTACTTATTCTTATCGAATAGTCGAGCTAAAAAGTGTTTGCGTAGGTTATCCTTATTGTAAGTGTACATCATTAGTAGATAATATATCAGCGGAAAGATTGAATCTAGAATAGAATCCTATACAAACCTGCTATATAAATGCAAGTGCATGCAGGAGTCATAAATCTGTATCTCTAACAAGCTGCCATCCCAGCAGTAAACAACATCAACTCTAGAACAGGTGATCTATTTGTTGTAGGTCCTCTTACAAACACCTGGAAAAGATAAGGAAAAGGATCATTTTAATGAAACACAAAATAAGCTTTATGATACAACACAGTTTGTTATAAGATTTATTATATAAAATACCAGCTGTAGTAGTATCAGTACAAATTACAGGTATATTCCACAAATATCTAAAATATCTGGATAAATTTCTAGTTGATAATTTTTTATTAAAAGAGATAGTCATTAAACTGTTCATTCTAAACAAAATTTATTTTAAATCAAAGCCACTGACAAGCTAATTTCTATATCACATATTCTTATTACCATTTCAAATTCTTATTAACCCAAAAAACGTTAACAGAATTGCCACCCCTTGTGATCTCACCTCATATTTAACTATCTAAAACATGCAAAATGGCACAAAACTTTTCAATAAGAACACTGAGTCAAATTATTAAAAAAAAAATTCCTGACAATGTAATCATTGTCAGAGGAAGTATTTATAGTGATCAAAGATGAGGCATGTTGACACTTATTTGTAATAGTATGATTAATACAAGATGAAAGACATAATTATAATGTCACTGTTACTTTTAATTAGTGCTGCCATTTTCCAGTTCTCTTTACAAATAAGCCATCTTTGAGCATAATGGTAAATTATATTTTATTGATGACAATTTATATTCAAACAAGAGCTGTCCGTAAGACAGCGCGCTCGACTTTTTTATTGCTTGCCAATAAAAAAAGTTTTTGCAGTAAAAGGCAATACAAGAATCTCTGTATTTTTAAAGTGAACAATGGCCATGAGCATTAAGATATTTAGTGAAGAATTATTTTATTATGACATAATTTATGGTAAAGTGAACAAGTGGATAGGAATGATTTTTTTTAGATTTTTTAAGTTTTTTAGTGCTTGCCTATAATACAAAACATTGACAGTTAAGGGCCATAATTCAAATAAAATCTTTGACAGAATGACCTTCTCCTGGACATGTTTGGGAATCATGATTGTAAACAAGTATTCCAACTTTCAAATTAATATCTCAAACAGTTCAGTCAAAAAGTGGACTGGTACTAAAAACTTAACCAAGATTCTAAGTCGATAAAAGGCCTTAATTTTTAAAACAAATCCTTGACAGAGTTACCTTCTCTTGCGTACAGATGGGGGTAATGATGTGAAATAGCATTAAAAGTTTCAAAGCAATATCTCAAAGGGTTAAGGCAATAAGTGGATTTTACCCATATTCAATGTATTTTCTAAGTCAAAAAGGGGCATAATTTCTGTCAAAAACCTTGACAGAGTTATGTCCTCTTGTCTGTTGATGAAGGTCGTGATGGTAAACAAGTATGGTCAGTTTTCAAAGCAATACCTCCAATGGTTTTGAAATAAAGTGAGGTGGTACAAAAAACTTAACCAAGCTCAATACACTTTCTAAGTTCAAAAAAGGGCCATAATTCTGTCAAAAACCTTGACAGAGTTATGTACTCTTGTCTGTAGATGGAGGTTATGATGGTGAACAAGTATGGTAAGTTTCAAAGCCATACTTGTAATACTTCTGAAATAAAGTGGGGTGGTACGAAAAACTTAACCAAGGTGTGACGCCGACGCCGATGCCGACGCCGACGCCGGGGCGAGTAGGATAGCTCCCCTTTTCATAGAAAAGTCGAGCTAAAAATGAAAGTGTTGCAGTTTAATTTAAGCCTCAGTGTTTGTTAGTCTACAACCCCCAGCACCCATTTCAACAGAATTCATGCTTATTTTATGTCTGTTAGTGGTGATATTTTAAAATCTTTCGAATTATTAGATTTTATGAATCCCTGAAAATTTTAAAGCACATAATTTAGAAAACCCTATATCTTTTTATTTATTTTTTCAAATGTAATATTACTTCCTCTTTTTCTCATGTAAAAAGAACATTTTTGTTGAAAAGCACTGTCCCAATAAACAAGACCACTCTAGAAAAGACACTTTTTAATGAAAGGAAAACCCTGTAAATTAAACAAATACACCCAATTAGATAAGCATCTGATGGCAGTGTTTTAGACTAGGCAGCTGATACAGGGGAAATTGTCTGATAAATCAATTTCATTATCACAACTGAATGTCTCAAGAAACAATCTATCAGCTATTTCTGCCAATTTATCTTGTTAATACAATTATTTTTCTGTCACCATTTTATACACCCAGCTCTAACTGATAAACATTAATGGAAAAACTGTCTGAAGATATTTTCTTTCCTCTTTGATACTTGATGGCCAGAAGATTTTTTCCCTTCTAATTTTAAATTTTCAAATTAAAGCCAAACCCTTTCCATCAAAAGTTGCAGACAATTTTTCTTCTAACATGCCTTTTTCCAGCATAACTTGAATTCCATCATTATTCGTTATATTGCACATGGGTTAAAATGTTGAAATAAAATTTGTATCAACAGTTCTATGAGTCCTACATCCATAACTGCTAAATGGAACTAATGTACTATGTGGAAGAAAAATGTAGAATGAACACAAACTATTTGGAGTATCAAAAACACTTTATATAATACAAGTACATTGTTATTAATAAAAACAAAATTTAAAGTATATCATAACAGAACTTTGGCATTTCCTAGATTTGCATTTAAAAATTTTACAATTTCTAATTACAATCTAAAAAAGAAAAAAAAAACTTTAGAAAGAAGCACATTAATAGATTTCAAGAAAGAATGGAAACTTATCAAAAAATAATTTTTCAGTTTTCAGGATGCCTCAAGTTAATTAATATATAAATTCTAAATCTGCCTATAAGCAATGAAATTCTATTTACGGTGCTTTATAATCAAAATAGGGCAATTCTTTTTTTTATACACATGATCATTGTATATCAAATAAATGTCTATTGCTATTACTTGTACTTGTATACAATGCAATATCATATATAAAATGATATTGTGATGCCCTTGGTCATTCATCAACAAATGATGAGGACTTTACAAATATATTTTCTTGTAATTTGAACTTGTAATGAAGAAACAAGGCCATCTTTGCAGTTCAAAGAACTACAAATGATATATTCACAAGTCTGACAACTGGCTGGGTGTAAGGTGTGTCTTCTGAGTGTAAGGTATGTCTATTGGGTGGGCATTTGTCCAGGGTGTAAGGTGTGTCTACTGGATATAAGGTGTGTCTTCTAGGTGTAAGGAGTGTCTACTGGGTGTAAGGTGTGTCTTCTGGGTGTAAGGTGTGTCTACTGGGTATAAGGTGTGTCTACTGGGTGGGTATTTATCCAGGGTGTAAGGTGTGTCTACTGGTTGTAAGGTGTGTCTACTGGGTGAAAGGTGTGTCTACTGGGTGTAAGGGTGTGTCTACTGGGTGTAAGGTGTGTCTACTGGGTGTAAGGTTAATGTCTACTGGGTGGACATTTGTCCTGGGTGTGGGGTGTGTCTACTGGGTGGGCATTTGTCCAGGGTGTAAGGTGTGTCTACTGGGTGGGCATTTGTCCAGGGTGTAAGGTGTGTCTACTGGGTGGGCATTTGTCCAGGGTGTAAGGTGTGTCTACTGGGTGGGCATTTGTCCAGGGTGTAAGGTGTGTCTACTGGGTGGGCATTTGTCCAGGAGGAGCATCAAATAGTATCGGGAGGTGTTTTCCATAAGAAAAACATAATAGATAATTAAAGTGACGAACCTAAAATAACTTTTGAAACATTTAAAGCTTAAAACTATGCAAATAAGCCTCAATGTTTTAAATTGATTACTGGTAAAACAATGGGGAAAGTTTTTATAGGTTTAATTTTGTTTCCAATTGTACTCTAAAAATTTCCCGTAAAGATCAAAAATCGAAACTCTCACAGACAATAAAAATATAAGACCCCCAGCCCAAATATTTTCATGTATCATTTAAAGATTTATAATATAGACTAGGCTCGTTGGGAACATTCATGGGCAGGTTTTTTTGTTAGCTCCCATAAAAAATACAATGAACTAACACATCCTGATAATTTATCCCAGGTTTTTGTTAGTTTCAACCTAGGGGTTCAGAGGTGAAAAATGTTTTTGTATTTGATTTAAGCTGCCCTGAAAATGTCAAGAAATTTCCAAACAATTTTTCCCAAAACAGGTTTAAATCATAAGCTGGTTACAACCCTTCCTGGTAAAATTGAAACTGTAAACATTTTTAACTGTCAAAAATTTAGCCTAAAGGTGTTGGGCTTTTTACAGTAAAAAAAACATTCCCAAACTTAACATACAGTATGGGAAGTATTGGAAAACTGATATCAAATCTCATTTAGCAGATTGCCAAGGGGGTTTTTCCAATATATAGCAGAATATTTTAGGAGAAAAAGTCAATGGCTCCCCAAAGATAAAGAAACAGCTAGGGCTTTTAAAAAATTTGGGTTCACTAAAATTATTCCCATTTTAGCAGAAATACTAGGATGTTACCAAAAAGGGCCCCACCGGGATTTTCCCCCTAAAACCCCAGCTTTTTGATTTTAGGCCAATGGACCCCACAAATATTTAGCAAAAAAAAGGCTTTTGACATTTGCCATGTAAAAAGCAAAAAATTACATTTTTTTGGACCAAGGGAAAAAAGTTTTTTTGCTGATATGGCTATAAAGATGTTGGTCAATGGGTCACAAGATATTTAGCAGAAATGTCTTAAATTAATTGCTCACCAGATTTTCCATATTTCCCTCATAATTATTTAACCTTTCTGCTAATAAAGCTGGCAAAAACAAGATTTGAAAAAAACAAAAACTATAATGACCTTTGCTATTTGTTTCCCATGAATAAAAGAAAATATTAATGAAAAAGAAACAATACTGATCAATCTAAAAATCTTTTTTATAGTTTTCCTGAAACTTGAACATTTCAAATGTATTTAAAACAGAACTAAATAGTTTTTTTTGTTTTATTTTTATGATAGAATAAGATACTTTTACAACCCTGAAAACAATAAGATAATTGAGTTGATTTAAGTGAAAACTGTTGCAATGCTTTTTAATTATACGTCATTTTTCACAATTAGAATATTATTCTGGAAAAGCTGAGTGAGCAAAATAATGATAATTGA